AAAAAAAAAAAAAAAAAAAAAAAAAAAAAAAAAAAAAAAAAAACTAATATATACGTGTGCATATATTTTAAATTTCTTTTAATTTTTATGTAGGTTTATTTTCAAATAGGTGTGTATCAGGCTTGGCAGCAAGTGACCTTTACCCATGGAGCATCTCACTGGCCCAAGGGTTCATTTTTTTTTTTTTCTTCTTCCCCCAAGACAGGGTTTCTCTGTGGCTTTGGAGGCTGTCCTGGAATTAGCTCTTGTAGATCAGGCTGGTCTCAAACTCACAGAGATCCACCTCGTCTGCCTCCTGAGTGCTGGTATTAAAGGTGTTGGCCACCACCGCCTGGCTGCAAGGGTTGATTTTTAAAAACGCGGTCTGGGAAGGACTGCTGCCAAGGAAGACTACCCAAATGTTATCTATAGAACCCACATGTGTGCTGTAGACTATTCAGTTACACATCACACAATATATGAATGTTAAAGAGAAAAAAAAAGACTTCTATTATTTGTTCTGCCAGCATATAACACATATAATACCATGTACAAGATATATTTCAGGACACTGTGAGGAGTTAATTATTTGAATGTTACTGTAGCATAGTGACTTGACCCTGACTGTCCTGGATTAACACACACTCTACTGCGTTTTAGCTGTAATCCTGGTCAAGGAACTTGGGCTTTAGTACCATCATTTATACTATACAACATTGTATTAGTCTTAGGAAATAAGAATAGGCTACACTTTGTTTACTTCTGGATTAAATGAGCTAATATTTTTATGAAATACTTAGGTCCATGTTTGGCATATTAATGAAATATGTCTGTATCTGGCATATTTAACTATCAGTTGTCATCTACTATTGTTACCTGAAATTGTATATATAAACATTTGGTAAAGTTTTATGTGTATGAGTGTTTTGCCTGTATGTCTGTGCATAACATGTGTGCCCCATGCCCAAAGAGACCAATAGAAGACAGCAGATCCCTACTGGAGTTACAGATAGTTGTCATCTTCCGAGTGTGTTGGTAATTTAACCCAGGTGTTTTGAAGAACAGCAAGTGCTCTTAAACTGCTGAGCCCTCTTTCTACCCTCCTTGTCTTCACCCACACTTGTCTCAAAAAGAACAAATGAGAAAGAAATCAAGTATCAATCTGATCTCTACAGCCATGTACATACACGTGTACATAACATTCATTTACCCACAGCAAAAAGAATCCAAGTCAAAGGAATACGTTTGGGGTATATGGTAATCTAATAGCCCCTGTGAAAGTATAACATTGCTTGTTGGTACATGCCTATAATCCAGCACATAGGAGGTGGATGCAGAAGGATAAATGTAAGGTCATCTTTAATTACAAAAGACTAGGCTTGTATGAACTAGACCATCTCACAAAGCCCTGGATTTAAGTGCCATCACAGCATAAACCAGATTTGGTGGTGCACCCCTATAACCCCAGCATTCAAAAGTAAAGGCAGGAGTTGAGAAGCTCAGGCTTCTCTGCTTCATAAGTTTCAAGGCAAACTGGGATACATGAGACCCTGTCTCAAAAAACTGAAGTCAACATGACTCAGCCAGTGAAGGTGCTTGCCAGCAAGCCTGCTGACTTAAAATCAATCCTGTATTGTTCATTTCCTTTTACTATAAAATATCCCAACAAAAAGCAACCTAGGGGAGAAAGGGTTGATTTTAGCTCATAATTCCAGGTTTCAGTTCATCCTAACAGTGAGGTCAAGGCAGGGACTTCAAGCAGTAGTCATGAGCAGGAGAAAAAAAATGCATGCATGTTTGTCAGCATCCAGCTTGTTCCCTTACACTTAAACAGTTCAGGATCCAAGTTCAGGGAATGGTGCTGCCAGGAATGGGCTTGGTCTTTAACATAATCAAAGCTATCCTCCAGTGGGTTGGAGAGACAGCTCAGTGGTTAAGACACTTGTTGCTTTTGCAGAGGACCCAGGTTCAATTCCCAGCCCCCACATGATGGTTCTCAACCATCCATAACTCCAGTTCCAGGGAATTTGATACTTTCTGATCTAGAGAACCAAGAATACACATGGTGCAGACATTCACACAGGCAAACTAAAATCACTGAACCAAAAAAAATTATTACCCATATGTAAGCTAGATAATCCCTCACTGACATTTTGAGGGATTCTAGATCGTGTCGAACTGACAATTAAAATCAACCATCATTGGGCTGGAGAGGTGACTCAGTTGTAAAGAGTACTTGCTGCATTTGCAGAGAATCTGAGTTCAGTTCCCAAAAGTCTGTACTCCAGCTCCAGGGTATCTAACGCCTCTAAATATACCTGCATTCAACATTCATATATCCACACACCTAAAAATGCTAAAGGGGCTAGAGAGATGACTTCATGGTTAATAGCACTGGTTGCTTTTGCAAAGGACCTGGGTTTAATTCCTAGTACCCACACATGATGGCTCACAACTGTCTTGTCACTTGAGTCCCAGGAGATGCAATGCTATCTTCTGACCTCTGAGAGCACCAGGCACACATGGTACACAGACAAATCTTAACGCAATTTAGTTACTTCAATCTTTGTTGTTTGGTCTTGCCGTTCCCCTCAATGGGGGTGGGTTGCAGAATTATCAGCATTATTTTGTCAGATTTCATTAAGTTTTTCACTAAGGGCAAAAATATTCCCATTAGAAAAGGAACCAATTTAAATGATGAATCTATTGAATACAGTATACATTGAGAAGAGTTTTCTTCAAATATTAAGATAGTCCTTTACTGTATGCTATAGACATACACAAGCTTGTAACTTCGCTTGAGAATTACTTAGAACAAACATTGTCACTGGTTTATTCCAAGTTCCTTAACTATAGGCTGTATATGAAGTATTTGACTTGCTGTTCTGATGTTTGATAAAAACAAGTTTTTTTTTTCTTTTCTTTTCTTTTTTTAAAGTGTTTCCTGGCAGATTGTGACTAGGGTCTTAACTCCAGTCCTCAGGATTACACAGCAAATACACGTACTACTGAACCATCTCTCTAATTGCCAAACTTTCGATATTCAGAGAAAGGAAATATATCCAGAACATTTGGGGGGAGGGAGATCAATAGGCATAAAGTTACAGTATTTGAAATATTTGAACCTAAAACATTGGGGAAAGTATTTTATCAATTTGATCACAAAGAATGCTACCAATATAGCCAAAGTATATATAATACCAAATTTCAACAACTCTCACCTTTTGAACTTTTTTGGGGCGGGTTTCTCGGTGTAGCTTTGGAGCCCATCCTGAAACTCACTCTGTAGACTAGGCTGGCCTCAAACTCACAAAGATCCAACTGCCTCTGTCTCCAGAGTGCTGGGATTAAAGGCTTGCACCACCAACGCTCAGCTCTTTCTATTATACATACATAATTTAACCTTTTCATTTCTATTGAGGTTGAAATTTAGATTTATAGCTAATGTATTTGGTGCTAGGTAGGAGTACTGTTTAGAACACTTCATTCTGATCATATAACATCGTTCAACAGATGAGAAAAATGAGGTAGGGTTCAGAACGAATATAATTTAGCCAGAGCTACTTTAGTTAGGTACTAAGTAGTAGGATTGCAGTTCCAAAGGCTGTGGCTCCAGATTATGCTTTTCTCAACCATCCTGCCACTGAATGGCCTGTTGACATAGAACTGTTATTCAGTAATGAAATAAAGCTATAGTGTTCATGTTGTGGATTTTGATGGATTTTTCAGTTTTCAATTACATAATGTGGTTCAGTTAAACAGCAAAGTCACTTTGTTCCTAGCTTTTAGAAGTATTCATATAATTAAAATTTGAGTCTAATTTTATTGAAAATTTTATAATTTTAATCTCAAACATTAACAGATCTAAACATCAACTCATATGAAAATATTACTTGTCTTTAGCATATTCAGAAGAAAGCTGCAGAATGGAAAGTCAAGATAGAAATTATTGCAGGTAAGCTATAACTCAACCCTGTCCCATCCCCCCCAAGACCAGGTTTCTCTGTGGATCAGGCTATCCTGGAACTGAGATCCACCTACTTTTGCCTCCCAAGTGCTGGGATTAAAGGCATGAAACATCACCACTTCGATACGACCCTAATTATTTAAAAGGTCAACAGGCCAGCCAAAATTTTTAAAAATTTATTTTTATCTTATGCACATTGGTGTTTTGCCTACATATGTCTGTGTGAAGTTGTCTCTGATCTCCTGGAATAGAGTTACAGACAGTTGTGAGCTGCCATGTGAGTGCTGGGAATTGAATCTGGGTCCTCTGGAAGCAGTCAGCGTTCTTAACCACTGAGCCATCTCTCCAGCCCACCAGCCTAAATTTTTAAAGTACTAAAAAAATACTATGGTATGTTATCCAGTTCAGCAATAGGTTGGAAATGCACTAAACACAGGGCATAAACATTTACCTATCCCTATTTATGCATTTTCTTTTAAAAAAAAAAGTAATGGTACCAAGGTACTGAAATAAATTATGAAGACTGGGGTGGCCAGGCGTTGGTGGCGCATGCCTTTGATACCAGCACTCAGGATGCAGAGACAGGTGGATCTCTTTGAGTTTGAGGCCAGCCTGGTC